CCCTAACGAGTCTGCCTTTTGCTCGTGATCATAAAAGGGGGATTTTCCCCCATCCCAGTCCTATCTTGAACCCCAAGCCTGGCTCTCTGTCCCTTCTCATTGCCGGAGGGGAAGGGAGAGAGAGGTGCTGCATTGTGGTTGGCTGTCAATCAGGCCTAAACCACGACAGACTGGTTGAAGTTTTTAAGTTTCTCAGCTGAGCACAGAAAAACCCTGTATTCATTTAAATGCAAGTCAAGATAGATTTACAGCTTAAGGAAATGAGAATTAGCTTTGAGAGTAATGCAAAACAAGGAAAAAAAAAAATCAAAGGTAAATTTAAAATGAGTACAGCCTTGCGTTTTACACTCCTTGCCAGGAAACAATGACTTGCCTGAGATCTTGTGAGTGATAAAGTGTTCTTGTGTTAGTTTGCCCTGAGTAAAGAAGGAAAACTAACATAACACTAGCGCTGGGTGTAAAGGAAAGGATGTCACTGGTAAGATTTTGAAGAGGTCCATTCTGTTAAATACATCCAATGATGATCTGGGAAAGAAAGGGATCTGTGAGGTGATAAAGGTTTGCTGATCTCTCAGAAATTTTCAGGATAGGAAAGATGAAGGCTGATGGTGAAAAACAGAGAAGAACCTAATGAGACTGGATGATTAAGAAATAAAATGGTAGATATAATTCAGTGTAAATAAATGTAAAGTGATGCACTTTATAAAGTGGGGCATAAATCTTACCTTTACATATAAAAAAGACATCTCTGTTCTAACTGTTACTACATAGAATTGAGATCTTGGTGGTGTAACAGATAACGATGAAAATATCATCTGTGTGCTCAGTAGTGATCGAAAAGCAAAAGAAGAAAGAACATAACATAGTATCATGATGACATTTTAAAAATCTCAATTACAACAGGAAGGTTTAATCTGCCATCTCTGAAAGAATATAGCAGCACTATGAAGGCATAGAAATATGATGCAAGAATGGTAAAAACTGGAACAGCCACCAAATAAGGAACAGCTGCATCCACTTGTCAGTCTAGAAAAGAGCTAACTAAGGAGAGAAGTGACAAAGGGCTACAAAATTTCAACTGAGGAGGACACATAGGAATACATTGTCACAGTTTCTGCCAGTAGAGAATTAAAGGGTGTCAAACCAAGTTGGGGTACTGGGTTCAAAACAAACTAACAAAACCCAGGTAGATAATTATTCAGTGCATAGATAAATGTGATCCTCCTTACACAGAATATTTTTGATGCTAAACATTCTTTACAGCAGTTTAAGAGGTGATTGAACCCCTTAATGGACCTGAAATCTATTGAGGGAGATCAAACACAGCCAAGCCAAACATTCTTGGGGAGCAGGAGAATATTCTGAGAAATGTTTCTTTAATATTTTATGTCTTCATAGGTTTCACTTTTGCCAGTCACAGATGGATCTTTTGTCTTCTGTTCTTATGTTCTAAGGTCATATAAAAATGGTTTTACCCATAGAGGAAAGCTGAATGATGGCAAGTACTGGCTTTTTTTTTCTGGTGTTGTGACATGTGGTAATTTTTTTTATTTAATGTCTGACAGAGCATTCCATATCATTGCTCAGCAAAGCATTTAAGCACACACTAATTTAAACCACAGGAACAGGATCTTCTGAGTATTTATTCAGAAAAAATATGGATGTAAAGGAGACTACATAGAGATTAAAATTTTGGACAAGATTTCTTGAAGAACATCTTTTTTATAGGGGAGTTCAACTACAGCTCTCAGGAAAAAAAAGGAATTGAGGATGGCACAGGTTCTTTTTCATATGTGAAGGCAATCAATTCTTGTAAGTGATTGATCAACTTCCCTTCTCCCAATATATTAGAGAATACCTTCATTATCTTTAAGAGTCATGGGATCAGATAGATTTGGATAATATATTTGCTGATGACTTTTGCTCTGAATAATACCAGGTTAAAGGTCTCTCAGGAACAAAAGTAGTCTGCTGGGCTATTATGGTAGAAATAAGCAAATTTCTTTTGTGGGTTGATGCTTCACAAGAGGTCAGATCACCCCATTAGACTCAATATTAACCACTTCCCTGAGACAGGGGATCAGATGCTCATTTAAAACATTTCCAGCTGAAGAAAGCTCTCAACATAAGTTCAAATGGGATGAAACTCAAATCTCTAGGTTTGTAACAAGATACCTTAATCGTTCTGTTACCAACTTTTTGTCTGCCTGGGGCTTTAGAAAAAAATAATAAATAGACCATTTCAAGGAGATCATAAAATGCACCAAGGTGTGTGGCTGTTACAAGATAATTACATACTCTAGTGGTATAATGAGGGCCATGCACCTTGGAGATATATGAAATGTGGGTACTTCAGCCGAGTACATTCCCTGGAGTATATAATTCTGTGCTGAATATGGCATAATGGGCTCTTAAGTGGACAAAAACAGAGAGGCTAAGTGGTTCTGAGCTAAGTATTGTCCCATCAACACACAGATTGGGCTCTTAATTAGTCAGTTAAATTACTTTCTCTCTCCTTTTCATAGGCTTCTGTTAGATGTTGTTTCATCTGCAAGCACAATTTTAATTTTGCTAAGGTTGATCATAACCACAGAAGACTACAAGAACTCACAGTAGTCTAATGTAACCCCCTAAATAGCTGAGCACTATAACAAAAGCAAGTAAGTGTTACTTTGCATCAACATCACTAAAATAATAAAAGCAACATCCTACCACAAAGGAATAAAAAAAAAAAAAGGCATTATCTGTAACACCAGAGTCATGTATCCATGGTAATAAAATAAAAATATCTATAATGATCTCAAGTATCAGATACCGTAATTATTCTCTCTATGTGGGACATCCCATCTGACAGTTCTTTTAATCCTCTATGATTCAACAGTCGAATTCTGATCTCACATGTGTCAGTACAATACACAACATGGCACCAATAGTCTTACACCATCAGCAGAAGTAAAACAGAGAGTAAGAGAGTACCATTCCCATTGCTTCTCCTGCCACCAGCTGGCTCCTATCATCCATTCCCTCATTCTGTAAAGGCCTTTGAAAAAGTCCTCCGAGATCTTCACAGTAGTCTGGGGATTAAGATATTAAATTTGCTTGGATGGCTTATTCATCCCTTCAAGCACTCTGGCATCTAGATTTTTAGTCTCATTTTGTTCCTATAGTCTGATTAACCAAATATTGGATAAAAAGAATCTTATTGATCAGAGCATATGCTTTTTATTCTACATTTTGCTAACACTTAAATATATGTACAACCCCAATTTGCCACACTACATGACATTCCCAAGATGCAAAACAATGTATTATATAAATTACAATTGAAAAACTCATTGTAAATACTGCCACTAATACTACTAATTTTTATGATGGTGTAAATGACATGTCCAGGTCAAACCCCAAAATTTTGCAACATTTGATCTCGCATAAAAACAGATGTTTTCTGCTCCTGCAAGTTAGCAATATATAAATAACAGAGGTCTTATTGGAGCCTTTGATGGGACCTGTCCCACATAATTTCACATTTCTTCTAGAGCTCAATACCATTTGCTGCGCTCAGCCAATGGATTCAACACATGTAGCACATACCTGTTTTGGGAATATACGTCTGGTTTGTGCCTCTCTATTCACTGATTGAAGAAGGATCCTAGACAACCAGCTCAAACTAAATGTGTAACTAGAAGTTCATGACTTATGTTGTGGTTAAATCTATGTTATTATTTGACAAGCACCATCAGCTTCTTAGACCTTTTCAACCATTAAGCTTCAATGAAAATGCTCAACCGTGCAGCTACATGAATTCTCACACACTTAGAGACCAAACTGAGCTCACAACGCCAGTATGCACTCCAAACTGAATGGACAGAGAAAGCAATATTCCCAAATTGTACTAGGTTGTAACATTTTTTTTTTTTATAACTGGGCACAAATCAGTATATTTTTTAACAGGACTCCTGGAACAGTCTTCTAAGCTTAGCCATGTCAATAACCAGTGCTCAGGTGCTTCCCTCGATGCTGGTCCCAGGGAGGGATCCCGGCACGCCAGCTCTGCCGACACCCGAGCGACACCCCAGCACTTCGGGTCCGCCGGGGCCTGGGGGGAACAGACACACGGCGGGGTAGTTCTTAGCATGGTTAGCTAGCTACCTTCTGATTTTAATGCTCTCACCTCCCCAAATGACAAAGAGCCGTGCCCCGAGGGCCTGACAGATTCGGCTACTGGCAAGACAAATCTTCCTTCTGACTGCGTAAGGCTCGGGAGGGAGGGAGGGAGGGAGGGAGGGAGGGAGGGAGGGAGGGAGGGAGGGAGGGAGGGAGGGAGGGAGGGAGGGAGGGAGGGAGGGAGGGAGGGAGGGAGGGAGGGAGCCCTGTGTCTGCGCTGGATGCACAGCACTTCCACAGCAGACAGCAATCCCGGTTGCAAGGCCAAATATCTTTGCAGGATGTCAAAGAAAGTATTTAGCAAGGGAGACTGCAGATTAATGGACGTCTGCAAACAACAGGTGGGGCAGCTATTTATGTGGACTTTTATGGCTAGTGAGGACAACGTCTCATCTCTCAAAGTGTTTGCTCAGGAGAGCAGACGCTGTGATTTACTGCTGTCTCTTCTAGTACGGTATCTGTTGTCACGAACTAAAAAACCAGCACCACCACATGTCACATAATACCATGTTTCAGTATCTAGCAGTACCTACTACTACCTTACTGACCCATCATCTTTCTTCAGTTCTCTGAAATCTTTTCCAAGACCCAGCGGTCTACAGGGAGGCAGGCCTTTGCTAATTATTAAATCATTATACAGAGTGAATAAGCAGAATCTCTCATCAAAACTTTCCAGATAACTAACCAAGAGAAAACTCCGGCCGTCATCCAGAGAGCTCTGGCGAAGCACAACCTGGGATCTGACACGGCTGAGGATTATGAGCTTGTACAAGTCATCTCTCGGGACAAAGGTAGGGAAGCAGAGTTCTGCTGCTGCTGGAAAAGTTCTGCTGGATTCGGAAGGGAAGAGTAAAATGTGAAGCAACGTTTCCAAAGGCCGCGGCCGTGCTGTCCCAGCCGCCAGTGCGAATCCCCCCCCTCGCTAACTGGGGCGCGGGGACGGTTTATCCCGGGCTGTCAGCAGGCGGCTTTACCGAGGCAGAGCTCCCTGGCAGAGCTCCGGGCGTGCAGGGCGCCCGCCGAGCCCTCGGGCCGGGCAAGCGCCGGGGCTTTCGGCACAGCCTCCTCCCGCCAGGCTGGAGGGGTGGGCTGGGTTTGGCCGCCTTCCTCCTCCCCTCTGCGGGCCTGCCGCCCCGTTTTTGCAGGACGGCTGCCGTGGGCACCCCTCGCTGCGGGCTTTGCCCGAGGAGGCGCAGCAGGGCAAGGAGCCGGGGCCCAGCGGTGCCTGGCTGCGCGCACGCCGGCCGCCACGGGCAGGGCTGCAAATCCACTCTGCAAAAGGCTCTGGTCCCTCTTTTGCAGAACTGGTGATCCCGAGCAACGCCAACGTGTTCTACGCCATGAACAGCCGCGTGAGCTTCAATCTCCTCCTGCGGAAAAAATCTTCGGTCAACAAGCAGGTGAAAATGAGGAGCTGGTCCAGTCTGACGTTCCCCAGAACTGCCAAACGGGGGTGCCGGAGCAACCGGCCCAGCAAAATCACACCGTGAGGGAGACGAGGCCACGGGGAGAACTGGTTGGAGGGCTACCTTTGCAACCATCCAGTATTCTAGAATCACAGCAGATGAACACGTCGGTATTCAACTTGGAAAATATTTGAGGCTGAAATTCAAAGGTAGACCTACAACCAGAGCTATGGCTTTCCTCCCCTGTAGCTGGATATGGGCAGTACGGACTGGAATTTTTTTTTTTTTTGTTTTGCACATTAGCTGAATAGTCACTGAATGATTTCTGCGGCAAGTTAATATATAAAAAAAAAAAAAATATTGAGTGTTTCTATCATTTCCTCCTTGTTGCCATCATGGTGTTTTTTCCTCCTGGCCTCACAGCATTAGCTCGTTGGGTTCTTCCCCCCTGCACACAATACAGATGTTTGGTGTTTACATCAGGGCTGCTGCTTCCACCAGCCTAGCACAGTCCTGCCTCCCCTCAGCCAGGCTGGCGCTGCCCAAGTCCCAGCTCCCAGCACTGGGAGACTCCTACAGCTGCCAAAAGTCACACTGTGAGACCCTGAACCGCGGCAGTTGCCTTTGTCACTGAAGGGCCTCTCCTGCTACAGTCACAAAGGCAAAGGAAAGATGACCCTGAATGTAAGCTGCCTCCTGCTTTTCTTTTTTTTTTTTTTTCCCCCCTCCCCTACTTAAACTACCTTGGGAGACAGAATAGAACAACACAACCTTACTCGATTTCCCTCAGGATAAATAGAATCTCTTTGTGAACGAGAAATTTCATATTGCCATACTGAGCGTACAACAGCACTTTTCCTTTCTGAAACAAAAGCAAAGACAGAGTTGTTTGTTAGGTTACAGCCATATTGCAGCTAATCATTTTTGGGGCCTGTCACCGCAAACTTTCTCGTGAACACGCTGCTTTTCCAGCTGGTGTGCTACCTGCACTTTGTAAAACCTGTTCCTAGCTTCCACTGGTCCGTCACCACACTCACGGTGGGAGGCACTGCTGGGTGTTTTTTCCATCAGCTGTGGACTCCTGGGGCTTAGCTCTGATACTCCACAGCTGAGACCCCAAAATGAGGGGGGAAAAAGGGAGAAGAAAGAAAAGGAGAAAAGCAGCACCCTGTGGTTCACGAAGCAGCCTGGCAAACAGCCCCCTCAGCCGGAGCTGGGAGGCTGGTTCAAACTGGTGCTCCTACCTGTGCTCGGTTTTGAAGCCCATTAGAGGAGTCCCCAAAAAAAGTAAGTACATGGAAATTGGAAAAATATCAGAAAAACACAGGAGTGTTTCAACTGGCTCCTACTTTTCCAAAACAGAGTTAATTCTGGCCAGGGCAAAGCCTGGGCAACACCTGCCAAGGAACTGAAAACCCAGACAGGGAAAAACAGCACTGGTCACAGCAGGTAGAACCGCTGGCCATCCACCACAGCCTGCATGTGTAAATAAATAGAAACCTGTGTATGTATATACACAAACACACATGCATATAGGTGAAAGAATGAGCTAGATTGAGACCGTGTCTGCTCTGCAGTGGACACATTCATTTAATTACATTCATTTTTATTCTTAATTTGCTTCCCTCCTCCCCTGAAATTGCCACCAAACCCCTTGTACCTCTCAATCCTGGAGTCAACTACAAGAAAAAAACACACACGGAGAAAAAAAAAAAAACAAAAAAACCCAAGCAACCCCCGTGCTGTTGTCAAGATGTCTGTAACAAACTGCTACTGCTCTACTTAAGGAAAGCAAAGCTAAAGAGAACCCAGCCTCCCCAAGCATCCAAACCAGCCCCATGGCCAGCATCCAGCCCCACGGCCAGCATCGTTTCCCGAGCGAGGGCGGGAGCCAGCCGAGGAGCAGCGGTCCCCCCCCGGGCCGGCTGTAAGGCTGGGGTAGCCCTGGGCCACCAACACAAAGGCCGGGCAGGTGGTGCAGAGACTTTTTTGGAAAAAAAAGATTAAAATAAATCCATGCTGTATTTCCTTCAGGGCCAGTACAGCGATGCTCGCTGCCCCCCCCGGGGGGCAGCGCCCTACAAACGCACCTCCTCGTGCCACTGCAGCAGCACAGCGCTGCTGCTGTCCGAGGGGCTCTCAAAGCCTTTGTAGATGTACTTCATCAGCAGGTCGACACCGTTCTTGTCCAGCGACTGCACCGCCTTCTCAGTATCGTTGGCTTTGAAAGAGATGAGGACCTTCAGGACAATACTTTCTGCGCGATCCTGTCAACAAACAAGGCAAGGAAAGATACATTCACTCTTGAATAAGGTGTGTTCAAATATTACCCATCAATCGCATAAACAAAGCTAGGTATTTTTTTTTAAAACAATTCTAAAATCTATTTGAATAGGGCAGTTTGCACACAAAGCTTGTGGTGATAATGTATAATGGATATGTCCTCCCAGTGATAAACAGCATAAAAGAGTTTAAGGCATTTGTCCTGCTCTGGGGTTTCTGCCTCTCTGGTGGCATTTGCAATTCGCCACCTATTACATGAGTTTACAGCTACGCAATATAAATTTTCACATCGAAACCCAAGGTCTGGTAAACTCCCAAAAGAATTAGAAGAATAAAGTACTTGCCACCAGAGCCTTTTCCATGCCTTTGCACTGTATAATGAGCTACAAGTATTCTATTCCATGCAAATGCCATTAGCCAGCCTGGAAGAGGTGACTGCTGGAAGCCACATGTTTTCAAGAGAGTCAGCTGTCCCAGGCAGGCAGGATGCAACCTGGCAGCATTAATATTCTGTACTAATAACCCTTTGCAAGTTGATCTGGATGTCACTGCAAACCCAGGAACGTGTGTGGCATGATTACAGCGGCAGATTAACCACGTAATCAGCAAAAAGCAGCTCTTCCTGTTCATCCATCACTAACTCAGGGAGGGTGAAAGAAAAAGGTCTTGGGTTTGTTGGACTTTTGAATGATTCCATTATAGAAATGCTTCAAGTAGCTTCCTCCTCCAGAAATTACAGGTGTTAGTGTTCCCGTTCAATTTTACATCCCACAGCTGCTTGGCTTAGCGAGACCCCACGTGAAGAACTCTAAGTAAAAACATAAAAGTTCCATGAGATCAAGTGAAAATGAAGCCAAACGTTACAATTCAGTCACTCTGCCCTCTTCAATTCCACCGCCTTCCAAGCATATTCTGAAATACATCAATACACATCTAATGGAAACAAGCCGTTAATGTGGGGACAAAGCTGCTCCATCTTTTGTACAGCACCATTTGTAACAAGCAGCTGGATCTCAGAACCCCCTCGGAAAACCCTCAGGAAAGGGCTGGGGCTAGCTGAAAAAAAAAATCTCCACCGGTGGCCTGGTGAGCAGCACGGAAACGTGCCCGTGGGCCTCTCCTCGAGCGGGGAGCGCAGAGCTCCACAGGCGCTCACCGTCAGGCAGTTCCACAGCTCATCTGCCTGTTCCTCTCGCCGCTGCAGTCAGGAGCCATTCCAGGTTTTTTCTGGGGAGATTCAGAAATATATGCAGGCAGCAGGCTCCTATAGTCTGTCATGGGGGGAGGGTTTGCATTTTCCGAGGTTTTAACGGCTTCATTTTGATTGGATGCAATAACCAGCGGTTCTTCCTTTTTTGTAGGTTCACGGTCTGGCTGAGCGAGCAGAGTTTCCTTCGTCAGAGGTGACAACTGCAGTTGTGGTTCCCCGATCGTTCGGCGCCGACTCCATCCGTGTGCTGCCAGGGCTGGGTCAGACACGGGCACCCGGCGGCGCGCGGAGTTAGCCAGGGCACGGCACCCACACCCAGCGCGGGTCGGAGAGCGCGCCAAACCTCACCGAGCACCAGCTAACGGTGTACGGACAGGTGGCATCCGAGCTGCGGTACTTGGAGTAAAATTAAAACACCGGATGTTTAGCAATCAGGGAATACCCTAAACCCAGCTTCCTCAAAGTACGCCCTGGCAGGGTTGGTGGGGTCGGGGTTACAGACACAGGGAAGGATTTTTAAGGAGTGACCCCTGAGTGAGTTTGCTGCCATTTCACCTTCACTGCCTGGTTCTTTGTGTTGATCGGAGGGTTCTTCAGAGCCGCCTGCAGCGCGGCCATCGTGTTCCCGGTGCCAGAGGGTTAAGGACCAGACACCGAGAATTCCCAAGTCGGCAGGAGCAGCCCCAGCACGGCGATGCCGCTCGACCCAAAACGCTTCGGGTTCAGCGGATGCAACGCTTCCCTCAGCGGATCGCACGGATTACCCCCTTCCCGCCCTCCTGTCAGCACACGGACGGGCACGGACGTTCCCCTAAAGCCAGCCCCGGCCTCACCCCGCACCCCGCTCCCCGCCGCGGCCGCGCCTCACGGGACTACTTGCCGCCCGGCGGCGGAAGGATATGGCCGCAGTCACGAGCCCACCTCGCCCTCATC